AAGAAAGCCGACTTAGAAAGAGAAATATTTGATACAATTTTCTACGCGATGGTGGGATATGTTTGTTTCTGACTTCTCGTGACCCAGTGGACATAATGTTATCAGTGTATACAGGTAGTCCTTGACTGACCACAGTTTGTGTAGGGACCATTCCCAGCAGTGAAAAAAAGCAATTTATCACCGTTTCTTTAAGCAAGTGTTGCAGCCTCCCCGTGGTCACGTGATCAAAATTCAGACATGCTTGGCAACTGGCATGTACTTACGACGGTTTCAGAGTCCCCTTCCGATAATTTAATTTAAATTTAACCACTTCAGGGAGTCACTTAACAACTGTGGCAGGCAGGATGTAAAAATGGGGCAAAATTCGACAACTGTCTCGCTTAGCGGTGGAAATTTTGGGCTCAATGGTGGTCACAAATTAAGGACTCCCTGTATTTCTTAGCTCATTCCCGTGTCGTGCGCGATAGTATCTGCTCTCTTTGTATTCTCTAGGTCTCTTTTTTCAATGGCCTCCAATATTTTCCCATGGATCTGGGCTTCCTCAATGACTTTTTACTATGTGTCCAAAGTACGGTACATTTTAGATTAATGTTTAGCACTTCCAGTGGGCAATCTGGTTTTATTTCATCTAGTATTGAATTATTTGTCTTTTTTCAATCTAAGGTAGTCCCAATAATTTTCTCCAGGTTTTTATCCCCCATTTTTTAAAAAAGATTTTTCCAGCTTTCAGTTGGGCAAACTGTAGCCTTGACTGGCCGTATCTTGCTTATCACCCCGATTTCTCTGTATATTAATATTTGTCCAAATTTTAGTCTTTATCTGAATATTAGGCCGCTCTTGGTTTTATGACTACAATCCCCATTTCTGTGAATTTTTGAGCCTAGGAAGATAGATAGATAGATAGATAGATAGATAGATAGATAGATAGATAGATAGATAGATAGATAGATAGATAGATACTATTTCTTCTCCTTCTATCTGCAATGGGTTAGCTTTGCCCATTGGAATACATTTTCTGATAGGGTTTGATAAATAGCTAGATGAAATCTGAAACCCTGCCAAAATGTTCCATTTTAATTGCCTGGAATATACTGGACTGGACTATAAGAATGTATCTTCTGAACTAGAACCAATTAAACGGAAGAGGATTGAGTCTATATATTTCATGTTGGTGTTTTTTATTGTAATGTTTTAATGTTTCTCTTACTTTTACTTGTAAGATGCCCAGAGTTGCCTTGACGTGAGATGGGTGGCATATAAGAAAGAAAGAAAGAAAGAAAGAAAGAAAGAAAGAAAGAAAGAAAGAAAGAAAGAAAGAAAGAGGAAGGAGGAAAGAAAGAAAAAAGGAAGGGAGGAAGAAGAAAGAAAGAAGGAAGGAAGGAAGGAAGAAGAAAGAAAGAATGAAAAAAGAAAGAAAGAAAAAGAAGGAAGGAAGGAAAGAGAAGAAAATAAAGAAAGGAGAGAGAGAGAAAGAACGAAAGAAAGGAAGAAAAAGGAAGGAAAGGGAGAAAGAAAGAAAGAAAGAGGGAGGGAAGGAAGGAGAAAGGAGAATGAAGAAAGAAAGAAAGAAAGAAAGAAAAAGGAAGGAAGGAGGAAAGAAAGAAAAAAGGAAGGGAGGAAGAAGAAAGAAAGAAGGAAGGAAGGAAGGAGAAGAAAGAAAGAATGAAAAAAGAAAGAAATAAAAAGAAGGAAGGAAGGAAAGAAGAAAATAAAGGAGAGAGAGAGAAAGAAAGAGGAAGGAAAAGGAAGGAAAGAAAGAAAGGGAGAAAGAAAGAAAGAAAGAAAGAAAGAAAGAAAGAAAGAAAGAAAGAAAGAAAGAAAGAAAGAAAGAAAGAAAGAAAGACATCAGGCAAAACAAAGTAACTGACCTGAGACATAATTTTCCATGCAAAGACCTGACCTCCACCCAAGTTATTACAGTGCTGTATTTTAACACATATAACCTTGTTGTCTCCTTGTTACTTTATTAACACTTAATAACCACAACTAGCAAAAGAAGGGAAGTTTGCACGTAATCTGACTGGTTTGTTTGTTTGTTTGTTTTGAAAGGGCCTAGTGATGATGATGGCTTGAAATAAGTAAACAAGCATTATGATTGTATTTCTGTTTAATTGTTTCCCGAATTGCTAAAGGATAGATTTAACTGAATAGGAGTTTAATCCAGTTACGATCAATCTTAACTAATCCCTATTGGGAAAATTGTTCATTTTGAGTTTTACGCTGTTTTTAGATGGCATCGCATTATCATCCTAGCTCGAGCCAACATCTGCAGAGATCTTGTCAGCTTGCTTCCTCTTTCAACTTTTGGGGAGAAGTGGATTTGGCTGCCCGCAAACTCTGTTGCATGGACTCTTCAGGGAGCTGGAAGGGACCTTGGAGGTCTTGTAGTCCAGCCCCCTGCTGGACCCTGTGCCGTTTCAGACAAGTGGCTGTCCAGATTCTTCTTAAAAACCTCCAGGGATGAAGCACCTACAACTTCTAGTGACAAGCTGTTCCACTGGTTAATTGTCCTCACTGTTAGGAAGCTTCTCCTTGATTCCATCCATTGCTTCTTGTCCTGCCTTCTGGTGCTTTGGAAAATAAATTGACCCCCTCTTCTTTCTGGCAGCCCCTCAAATATTGGAATATTGGTATCATGTCCCCCCGGTCCTTCTTTCTCTAGTCCAGGGCTTTTCAACCTTTTCACCCATTGTACCACTTTTAGGATATGGCAACATCCGAGTGCCACCAGACGCCTAGCAAGGTGTCAAAAACTTGATGACCAAAAAAAAAAAGGAAAAAAGTGATAAAGTACAGGTAATCCTCGACTTACAACAGTTCGCTTAATGACTGTTCGAAGTCACAATGGCACTGAAAAAAGTGCCCCCCAAGCCACAGCCGAGCAAGACACCTGCCTGCCCACCTGGCGATGCTCTTCCTCCTGTCCGAGGTTTTCATTGTCGTGAGCATTTCTGTTGAGGATTGGCAGTGGGGGTGGGGTGGGGCATGTTTGGTTTTTACTCCCCCCATCTGCTGGGTGGTTGTAGCAGGTTTTGGTCACTTCACAGGACCCTGGGACACTGTGAGCGTCATAAATATGAATCAGTTGCCAAGCATCTGAATGTAAATCACAAGACCCTGGAGAGGCTGCAACATTCCAGCTGATCAGCGCTTCTTCTGGGCTCAGCAGAAGTGCCAGGATCAGTGCTACTTTCCAGCTGATTGGTGCTTCTTTGGGGTTCAGCAGAAGCACCAGGATCAGTGCCGAGCTCCAGCTGGAGCCTGGAACTGATCCTGGTGCTTCCGCTGAGCCCTGACAGCCCTGCAGCTCCAGCCATCTCTCGCTCAGGCTTTGTGCGGTGCTGCCACCGGTTCAGCTCATTCCCCTCCCCCGCTACCCATTTTCTAGGATGGTCACGTACCACCTGCCAGGTGCCAATGTACCACAGGTGGTACCTGTACCACTGGTTGAAAAGCCCTGCTCTAGACTGCCATCCCCAAATCCTGCAACCGTTCTTCGTATGTTTTAATCTCCAGGCCTTTCATCATCCTAGTTGCTCTTCTCTGCCCTTTTTCCCAAAGTCTCAACATCTTTTTTGTAATGTCATGACCAAAAACCGGATGCAGTATTAAGTTTTTCCAAGCTTACCTCATGAATAACGAATACAACAAATCTCTAAAATATAATATACTTTCATTTTTCTACCTCCCCAAAAGATGAATGATAATTGTGATGTATTGTGCTGAAGAATGCGAGGATTGTTTCTATATATATTTTCTGAGGTTTTCGCGGGTGTTTGTATGTAGGTCTTTGGTTGTTCGGGTTTTCTCCCGCGTCAAATTGGAAGTGTCTTGGCGACGTTTTGACGAAGTCTCATTCGTCATCTTCAGGCTGGTATTTTCGGCTTCGTGCTTCTAGGAGCAATGTGTGATCGTAGCTGTTTCTTCCTTAAAAGGAAGAATATGTTTGAAATATATATTTCATTTTACACAAATAAGACGTCTAATGCAGATTAATGTTACAGCCACATCTGATTAGAAATTAATCTTCTTTTAATAATTGCAGCTCAAATCGGATAAAAGCTTACAGTAATTCTGTTTGAACTTTTAAAGCACATCGCTGGGAAGAGTGACTTCAAAGCTAAAAGAATATATTGGTAACAACAGCCCTGCTGCCTTTTTCTCGAGATGCCTAGAAATATAAATCCTATTATTTAGTAATTTTGATGGAGGGGTTTAAGCAGAAATTATTCTGCAAGTATTTTCTCCCTGTAAGGTACATAGTAGCTGTCTAATGTAAGGATAATTGCGACTTCAAATAGTTAAGTTATAAGTGTGTGGAGGTCACCCTATATTTTTAACCTTCCTGGGTTTGCAGATGGCTTACGTGGAATTAATTCGACCAAATGTTAATGTATAAGGCTTTGCGTTCTTGAGTTTCCTGGCCTGAGTCATGTTTCTCTCTCTCTCTCTCTCTCTCTCTCTCTCTCTCTCTCTCTCTCTCTCTCTCTCTCTCTCTCTCTCTCTCTCTTTCTCTCTCCCTCCCTCCCTCCCTCTATTCTCTGCACAAGTAGAAGATAGATGAATGGAGCAAACTTGCTATCATCTGTCTGTCTCTCTGTCTCTCTCTCTCTCTCTCTCTATCTATCTATCTATCTATCTATCTATCATCTATCTGTCTATCTATCTATCTTTCTTTCATCTATCAGTCTATCTTTCATCTATCAGTCTATCTATCAGTCTATCTATCTATCTATCTATCTATCTATCTATCTATCTATCTATCTATCTATCATCTATCAATCAGTCTATCTTTCATCTGTCTGTCTGTCTGTCTGTCAACAAATGTGTGGAGATCACCATACATTTTTAACCTTCCTGGATTTTCAGGTCTGACGATGGCTTGCATGGAATTAATTTGACCAAATGTTAATGCATAAGGCTTTGCGTTCTTGAGTTTCCTGGTCTGAGTCATGTTTCTCTCTCTCTCTCTCTTTCTCCTGTATTCTCCGCACGAGTAGAAGATAGATGAAGAGAACGAAGCAAACTTGCTAGCGGTCCTCACCGAAACGTTGGACAGTATCCCAGTGGACGAAGATGGATTGCCTTCCTTCGATGCCCTGACAGATGGAGATGTGACCAGCCAAAATGAGGCCAGCCCTTCATCAGTGGCTGACAGCACCCCCCCACCTCAGGAGGCCGAAGAGACGTCTCTAGTAAGAATTCTACTTTCCTCCCTTTTCCAAGGAATGGAGTGGCTGTCTGACGGTGCAGAGCACGGGTGTGGGGTCACACTCTGGTTGTGTTCCTCTCCACAACATAAAGAAAGCTGAATCTTAACTGGGAGACACTGAGGGGGAAAGTCTCAGGAAGAGAAAAAATTGGTCTCTTTCTGAAGGAACTCTATAGCACGGATTATTGGATCGTTGTCTCCTCTTCCTTCGATTGTGTTGGGGGGAAAAACAGATATGTCAGGCTCTTAAAGGGACGCAGACCCTGCTGAGTCATTTCCATCAATATATTACATTACATCATTACATCTTCTTATATTATTACCTAAGTTGTTTAGCTGTTAGATCATTACCTTGACAAGAAAGAAATGTTGGATCCATGCTGTCTTAATAATAATAATAATAAAGTTGGAAGAGACCTTGGAGGTCATCAAGTCCAACTCCCTGCTCAGGCAGGTAACCCTATACCATTTCGGACAAATGGCTGTCCAGTTTCTTCTTAAAAACTTCCAGTGTTGGAGCATTCACCGCTTCTGTAGGCAGGTTGTTCCATTGGTTAATTGATCTAACTGTCAGAAAGTTTCTCCTTAGTTCTAGGTTGCTTCTTTCTTTGGTTGCCTTGCTTCTCTCTTTGATTTCTTGCTAGTGATCTGCTGTTGCATTCCTGTACGTTTCCTATTAAGCTGAAATTGCTTAAGTATGGAAGTTGGTTTCAGATTTTGCTGATACGATCAATGTTAACAATTGTCCCACTTACCAACAGAAATTTTGGGTGGTCGTAAATCCAGGACTATCTGTATTCATTTTCAGGCTAGTGCATGTGTTCTCAACAGAGATAGAATATAGCTTCACCTTATGGGAAAAACGTTGGAAAAATTGCTTAGATTCTCTGAGTTGTTTCCAGATCTTTGCTACAGCTTACATAGATCCTGGCAAAGCTAGAGTGAATTTTCTATCCCACTTTCTTACTGTGGCCTATGGACTGCTAAAATAATTGCAGCATGTTAGTTACAAACCTTTAAACAGGGAAAGCCACAATGTCATGTAGCTTTCCTAGATCTGATTCAAAAAACCACTGGATTTCTAGGTGATATTTCATGGGGAAGTTAAACATAAATCATCCAACCCATTAATCTATTATAGATCTGTTGCCTGATTGGACACAAGCTTGCAGTGAATGTCTTTCGGGTAGAAGATTTGTGAAAAGTTATAGAACTACCAAAAAAAAAAAAAAGGTCTCTCTCTCAACCCTGACTTTAGAAAACCCAATTCAGTTGCCCGACAGCTTTATCTTTCAGGCATAATGAAAGCGAGAAGCTCAGTATCTTATAACTGGGACTATCAAGATAAACTTGTAAAATACATCTCCTAAACGATGTTATTCAACCACAAGGAAGATCCTTGCCAATGTCTAGATGTTGGCTCCAGAGTTTTCTTATTAAAATCAGTCGGTCTTCAATTAGGCCTGAATTTCTTAAAGCAGGGGTCTTCAATCTTGGCCCTTTGATGACTTGTGGACTTCAACTCCCAGAATTCCTCAGCCAGGCACGCATGCCTGGCTGAGGAATTCTGGGCGTTGAAGTCCACAAGTCATCAAAGGGCCAAGTTTGAAGACCCCTGCCTTCAAGTTGCATTTGGTCCACTCTTAAGTATGGCTCCAAATCTATGTAGGTTAAGCTTCATAGATCTCTTTATGATAGGCAAATGTTGTCTTAAGGCTGACATGCTTTCTCTAGGAAAACCACCAAGGAAAACTCCAATTTTTCTTTCTGCCTTGGAACATGAGTGACTTTGGATCAAATTATTTTGGGTCGTCACAGAAACATGAGTTAGAAAGATGACTTTAAGTTCAGGTATGGCTCCAGGTTTTGTGGATGCTTGGAATTACACTATGAGTGAACCACGGGACCTTCTTATTAATTTAATTTAACAGAGAAGACCATTAGCTCCTGGATATAATATAGCCTTGTAGGAATGTTGGCTAAACTAAAAATGGTTCACTGATATTATTTTTTAATCTAAATCTTTTCATCGTAGCCTCTTTCTGTCCGTCTTCTTCATCCTTCCTTCCTATTATTGCAGTGGTTCTCAACCTGTGGGTCGGGACCCCATTTGGGGTCGAATGACCATTTCAATGACTAAAAACGCAGTCCGCCATTTCCCCCCCCCTTTTCTTAGCTGTGCTACTCCCTTTTATTCTATTGGCTTTTGAAAGCCAATAGAATAGACTCTCTTGAATAGAGTCTAATTCTATTGGCTTTCAAAAGCCAATAGGAATTGTCCAGACTGTCTCTGCCCTGCTGAGCCCGCCAAAAGTCCCATTCTGCTACGCTTCGGCCGGCACAGGGGGCGGCACCATGCATGCGCAGCGCTCCCGGGCAGGGAAAGTCCTTGACTTACGACCGGTTGGGTAGTCCTCGGTTTACGACCGGTTGGGTAGTCCTTGACTTACGACCGGTTGGGGGCCGCGGCATTAAAAAGGTTGAGAACCACTGTATTATCGGATTCCTGAGCCAAAAAACATCTGCCTTTGCAATGATCAGCTACACAGGTCCTTGGAAATAACCCAAAGAATCATGTTTTGCCAACTTAAATCTTCCTTTTGAGCTATTCTGCCTGGGTTGCAACCAACCACTGGGAAGAGGAGAATGTAAACCTCTTCGTATAGGTAGATGAAATAAAGCGTGCCTTTTGGGAGTCTCTCTGCATACAAAGGCAAGTGCTGATGACCGTGAATTTAACTTGGACACAATCCGCGTTTAAAATTAAATTTTAAAATTAAAACAGGCTTCTCATTTCTGTTATGCGTAAAATGATAAATGGCCTGCAGCATATCTTTTTTAAAATAATAATAATAAGAAGAAAAAAGTTTGGCCTGGAGCTTAGTGCTCATACATCACTTTCCAAGGGTGTAATATAGTTTTGTAATACTTCCACTGCTCGATCTTTTTGACAATTCGATGAAGATTTTTCTTCTCGTTTGAAAAGAACAAAGGAACCTTCTCCTTCAGCCTCAATGGAAAGTGAAGGCAGAAATCCTCGTGCAGCTTGCATTGCGGGTGAAAATGTGAGGAAATTCCAGAAACGGGGAAAAAAGAAAACTTCTAGATTTATAAAAGCCAATCAATTAATCATCTGCCCTCTTTGTTACTGCAGTTGGATTCTGTCTTCTCTGTTTAGCACAGGGGTCTTCAAACTTGGCCCTTTGATGACTTGTGGACTTCAACTTCCAGAATTCCTCAGCCAGGCACGCGTGCCTGGCTGAGGAATTCTGGGAGTTGAAGTCCACAAGTCATCAAAGGGCCAAGTTTGAAGACCCCTAGTCTGGATCCAAGCCTGCAGTTTCATCAAAATGGCCGACTGAGGACTTCTGGGAGTTGTAGTCCGCAAGTCATCAAAGGGCCAAGTTTGAAGACCCCTAGTCTGGATCTAAGCCTGCAGTTTCATCAAAATGGCCGACTGAGGACTTCTGGGAGTTGAAGTCCGCAAGTCATCAAAGGGCCAAGTTTGAAGACCCCTAGTCTGGATCCAAGCCTGCAGTTTCATCAAAATGGCCGACTGAGGACTTCTGGGAGTTGAAGTCCACAAGTCATCAAAGGGCCAAGTTTGAAGACCCCTGCCTTAGCACAATTCCAGCCTCTGGGGATGGAGAAAAGTCCCAAGTGCAAGATGAACAATTTTGGTAGCTGCTCCATATTGTAGGCTTCTTCTTAATCTGTGATCTACTAAGGCCCCCGTATCTTTCTTGTAAGTACTCTTGCTAAGCCAAGCAACATAACTCTAGTATCTGCAGGTCTGGTTTTTCTTGCCTAAGCGCAGAACCTTACATTTCTCATCATTGAACAACATTTTATTGGGTAGGGCCGGTGTTCAAGTTTGTCAAGATCCTGCATGTTCTCAGCCTCTCCAAGATTTATGTCGTCCACAAATTTCGGGAGCATACTTTCTATTCCTTCATCTAAGAAACAAGAATGCCTAACCTCTTGTTTTCCTCTTCCCAACCTTCTCCTTTCCCAACCGCCAAAAACTTCCTTCTCGTATTTCTTGCAGCTTAAGAAGCTCTTGCTAGCTCCAGCCAACATCCAGCTAAACTACAATGAATGCAGCGGCCTGGGCACGCACAATCATGCAAACTCCAATCACAGGATCAAAACAAGCCCTGTGGTGGTCAAGGTAGGGGTGTTCACACAGATCACTAAGCCAGGGTGGGTGGCATATCGGCTTAAAGATGTGGAGAGAAGAAGGAACACTGGAGATGTTGGTTTCTTTTCCAGCTGAAATTCCCGTGCTTAGTCTGTATTTACTGTGGGGGAGGACGTAATGGCTTAGCGCAGTGGTGGCGAACCTATGGCACGCGTGCCAGAGGCGCCACTCGGAGCCCTCTCTGTGGGCACACGCGCCGTCGCCCCAGCCCGCCTCCCCCTGTGGCCCCCTCGTCACCAGCAGCCCCCCTGGAGGAGAGTCGCCCCCGGGCATGGCCCACACGGAGCAGCACAGCTAAGGACATAGCTGGTCAGCAGGGACAAGACTCCACCTTCGCACCCCATGGTGTGCAGATGATCTGCGGGGTGTGGGCAGAGGGTGTGGCTGCCATGGTGCTGCAGGGTTGCCTGGGCGATCTGCGCTGTGGCCCTGTGGGTGGGCGGGGCAGGGGGCAGAGCAGACAGGGCGGGAGGCAGAGCAGGGGTGGGGGCGGGCTTTGGGCACTCGGTCTCTAAAAGGTTCGCCATCACTGGCTTAGCGGTTAAAGAAGCTGAGATTGTTAGCTGGAAAGCTGACAGGCCAGGTTCGAGACCCGAGCAGCACGCGATGGGGTGAGCTCCTGTTCCTTGCTCCAGCTCATGCCTGCCTGGCAGTTCGAAAGCACGCAAATGCGAGTAGATGAATAGGTATCACTTCATTGGGAAGGTAACAGCGCTCTGTGCGCCTCAGCATATAGTCCTGCTGCAGTGTTTAGTCTGCATTTAAACTATACTAAATAGCTTTGCCTCTTCCTTAGGCTAAGAAAAGGGACAATGGAGAAGTGGCAGAGGGGGGAAGGATGTCTAATAGGAGTCAAAGAGATTGATATTCTATATCTTAATGTCCTTTGTTTTTTTTTTCTTGGCAAAGGGTACTGCCATTTTTACAGCCCCCACTTCTTCTTTTTTCCTACATGCAGAGTGGCTGCCCTTAAAATATTAGTGATAGACCTTGTTTGATATACAGGCCCGGTTTGCTCCTCCGCCAGCTACCCGGTTTAAAAGAAGATTATTTCTAGCACCTTGGAAGACAACTCTGGGACGGCCATTAATTGCCTGAGATGCTGGCAGCGGTTAATTTTGTTAGCGGCCCGTATTAAAATTTGTCTTGCCATTCACTGTAACCGAAAACAGAGCGTGTAGGAGTACTTAAGAGAGTTGTGAACGGGTTGTGAGGCTTGAGCAATCAGCGTCAAATTAAGCTTCAAACCCGTCCTCTCTCTCTCTTTTTTGTTTCTTCCCTGTTGGTGGTGAAGGAACTAACTATAGGACCTTAAGCAGTCTAGAGTGCTGCCTAGCAGCATTGAAACATAAAGAGAACTGGAGGAAAAAGCCACGACAATGTCATTTAGGAATTTTAATATCATTTTGTCTTTACTCTGCAAACAATTATTCACGGTTCATAGATCGGGCGGCTTAGACTCAACCCCTCGCTGCTAATCTCTCTGTCTCTCTCTTTTTTTTTTCTTTTAAAAAAAGCAACACCCGGTATCCATTCTGATAAGGTTTAGCTCCCTAATTTCACCCTTTTTCTCTCTCTCCCCCCCCCGGTTTCGCTTGTGACTCGTTTCCTAAGACCGAGAATCCATGGAGCAATAAAGTGAAGAGCATCTGCCAGGCGCAAAAGCCACAGAGACGCCCATGCTCAGAACTTCTCAAGTACCTGACCACCGGTGATGACCCCGGTCAGGCCAAACAGACGGAAAACAGGAACAGCAACAGGGACAAATATTCTTCTAAAAAGAAGGCACTGTTGCACTCTCAGACGCACCACTTGCAAGGTAGGTGATGAATGGAAAGTATTTTAGGGGGGGCGGGGGGTCTCGTTTGTCAGAGTGGCACATAGTCAACCCTGGAGGGTGTGGTGAAGTGTGAATGTGAAGAGAGGTGAACGGAGTCTCCGGGAGAGGATTTCTCGGCTGCTCAGACCTACCATTCCAACCTGATGCGTTTACAGATATTGGAAATAGTGGTCTGCTTCTTCTGCTTCTTACTGGGGCAAGGTGGTTCAGTGGTTAAAGATGCTGAGCTTCTCAGCTGAAAAACTCGGGTTTGAGAGCCGAGCGCTGTGCAGAGGGGTGAGCTCCCATTCCTTGCTCCAGCTCCTGCCCACCTAATTCAAAAGCATGCAAAAGCAAGAAGATCAATAGGTACCACTATGGTGGAAAGGTAACAGCTTTCCATGCTCCTTTGATCTACAAGTCTGCTGGCCACATGAACCCAGAAATGTCTTTGGACAATGCTGGTTCCTTCGGCCAAGATCTCTGAGCTAGGGTGAGTGGCATATTGGCTTCGAGATGAAACAACCAGGATACGTTTTTTTGAGAGAGAGGAAAAGAAGGAGCACTGTAGATGTTGGCTTCTTTTCCAGCTGAAATGCCTGTGCCTAGTTTGTAGTTAGTGGGGGTCACGATGGCCTAGTGGTTAAAAACACAGAGCTTGTCAGCTGGAAAGCTGGCAGCTCGGGTTCAAGAGCTGAGTGCTGCATGACTGGGCGAGCTCCTGTTCCTTGCTCCAGCTCTTGCCCGCCTAGAAGTTCAAAAGCATGCAAACACAAGTAGATCAACACAAGTAGGTACCACATCGGTGGGAAGGTAACCGGTTTGGTGTATAACCACGCTGGCTACATGAACACACAAGTGCCTTTGGACAACCCTCGGCCAAGAAACACAGGTGAGCACTGTGTCCTAAAGTTGGACACCAGTGGACAGGGGAAAAGCTGTATCTTTCGTTTTTATACCTTCGCCGTTTTTTTTTATACCTTCCCCGTTAGGCAGAGCAAGGCAACTGCCAGCCATGGCTCATAGATCCGGCGGAATAGCCCTGTCCCTAACCCTTGGAAGGAAGATGTGATTGTCAGGTTTTCTACTTTGCCCGTTTGTTTTGTGGCCCTCAGGACTGTTTTGTACAAGTTGGGCAAGGGGATGTCATCAGAGCACCGTCTTCTCGCCGCCTGTGTATTTTTAACCCAACTAGAAGGCAAAAGGATTGTTAAACCAGCAACGTATTCCACTAAAAAAACAGCTTTCTTGCAGCTTTTGAATAGGCAATAAATACATCATGCCTATTATATCTCAAAACGCCTCACCATTTTATTGTTTCGTTTTCTAAACAATGTCAAGCGTAAGAACCATATTGACCCCTTTTACTGGCTAAACCGCAGAAGAGTTCTTTATGGCCAACTAAACATCTGTAATGAAGTTTAGTATCCTTGGGTGTGTAAAGATTTGTTACTCTCTTCCTGTGAGTCTCATGAGGGGATTGCAAAAAAATCGGAGGCAAGGATACCCAGCTTTTTTCTACAGCTATTTTTTTTTTTGCCCCCAGCAACTGAGGACACTCCCCCCCCAAGAAAAGCTTCATTTACAAATATTGCTTCTTGAGAAATGCGTCTCTATTTCCCTGCTTCCAAAGTGGAAGAGACCTTCTCTGACACTTTGGCCAACATCTGGAGCTGCTGTGTCATTCATCAAGGGAAATTGCTCTGCGGTGGAGTGGAGTGGCTGTTTTTTTTTTAATGAATCCTGAGCTAGCAGCAGCCCAAATTCACATTTCATTGCGGGCCCATCAACCCTGGTTTTATTGTGTCCGGAAAAGAAGAATGAGGTTTCATTCCTCAGCACAGCTAGGAACCTTTTTAAATCAGGGCAGCCCTGAGGCCTGCTGTCCACGGTACAGAATGAGCAATTGTATTTCTGTAAAGCCAGCACTACTGGGTTTGTTTGTTGTTATTGTAGAAGTTGTTGTTTGCATAGTCTGCCCAATTTTTTTTCGACTGGATTTGGCATTTTTATCCACCCATTGAGTTTTGTGCAAGGCGCTGGGATAGGCAGATATTGCTGTGTGATGACATTAAACCAGGGGTCTTCAAATTGGCCCTTTGATGACTTGTGGACTTCAACTCCCAGAATTCCTCAGCCAGGCACGCATGCCTGGCTAAGGAATTCTGGGAATTGAAGTCCACAAGTCATCAAAAGGGCCAAGTTTGAAGACCCCTGCATTAAACCATGATGGCTGGAGAATTCTGGGAGTTGAAGTCCACCTATCTTAAAGTTGCCACATCTGGGGAAAAACGATGTAAGCTTTTTTTAAAAAAAAAAATAGACCTTTTTTATTATTAATGATATTTTAATATTTTCCTAGAGCAGGGCTGTCAGACCCGGACTGCAGAAATCTGGAGAACCTTTTGTTGAAAAAGAAAATGTTTTTCAATTGACTTTGCTGCCTTCAGAGATACTGGTCCTCAGGGTTTTCGGCAGCACATATGTAATAACCATGTCCTGAAACCAAATGGGACCTGTTTTTATAGGCTTAAATCCTTGCTGTGTTGTTGGGCAAGGGAAACCTTAACGAAATGAATTTCCTTGTTGATATAAGGCAAGAGAGAATTACGTTTTTAATTTGTTTTAATTATGGTATTTCTGTGTCGTTTAGAGAACGAATGTTATGGGGCACCTGCTAAGCAGAGTAAGTATTTGCTCATTCACTGTCTGAGTAACTTATTCATTTATTTACTTCGCAAAGAATCCTCTCTTCTGAATTCTGCTCAGTTTGGGGAAACTGTTGGGAGACGTTTTAAAAAAAAGTTTGTAGAGAAGAGCCATCAGAAAAACATGAAGCTGGAACCGATGTATTCCCCTGCTTTGCCCAGAGGTTTTATTTCAGGACAGGACAAAAAAAGGGGGGAAAGAATGGAGAAGATTTTCTTAATTGATCCCTGGTCCAAACCAGATCCTATATGTTTATCGAAGCCCAATGACTAAACATCAATGTTTAATTTCTGAAGCTTATTCTACTCACTGGGGAATGGATCAAAAAATCAATACGGCGATCGTAGAACTCCATTATGGATGGACAGGTCTTCTCACTCTAATGGACAGTCGGGAGAAGATTGAGTCGAGAACATTTTAGTGCAACATGTACTTTTCCCCCCAGTACTAAATATGTAAAGCAGAGACATTAGTGAGGATGGACGACACGATTCTTATAGGCAGAACTTTAGAATTGCTTTCTGGATCCCAGTAGAATAAGTGTCCTATTGCAGGAGCAGTGTGGAAGTAGGGACACTGCTGGTGATGTGGGGATGGAAGAAGAAGCCAGCAAGATGGGACAACAAAAAAAAAGTCATCATGTCTTTTGCCATCCCTCCCCCTACCAATTGCTGTTTCAAAAATGTAAAAACATTTGGAATTTCTGAAGTGCTTGCGAAGGTAGCAAAGGCTTTTATTCTGGATTTCTCTACGGAGATTCTCCTTCATCCAAGTCATGGTCCCAAAGGCGCTTTTTCAAAAAGCGACTGGATCTTCCTTGTTGTCCCTTGAAGATGTTTTGCTTCTCATCCAAGAAGCTTCCCCCAGTTCTGCAGAAGCAAAACATCTCCAAAGGAAGGGGGGGAAAAAAAACCCAACAACCTCCAGTTGCCTTTATTCTGGATTTTTTTCATAATGAGTCTCCACCTGGGAATTTGTTTGCAGACGATTTGAGATACAGGCACATTTTCTTTTATGGGCCAAAAAAAAAAAAAACCACCTCCAAAAATAAAAGTGGAGCCTCTCTTAGCATTTAGCTCTAATCCAGATACACATAATGTATTTGATGGTGAGGGCTAGAATTTGGGAGCAGAAACCACGAAGTAAGAGTAGGTGCAAATGTGGCGATGGTTTCTTAGAGTTTGGAGTTAGTAGTAAAATTTCTGACGAGAGTGCTCTCTGAGCTTACTTGTTTTCTTGAAGACATTTCATTAGCCAAACTTGGTAACATCATAAGTGCTAGAAGGGAGGGGGTTTGCAGAGAGGAGGAGGAGGAGAAGGAGGAGGAGGAGGAGGAGAAGAAGAAGAAGAAGAAGAAGAAGAAGAAGAAGAAGAAGAAGAAGAAGAAGAAGAAGAAGAAGAAGAAGAAGAAGAAGAAGAAGAAGAAGAAGAGGAGGAGGAGGAGGAGAAGAAAGAAGAAGAAGAAGAAGAAGAAGAAGAAGAAGAGAGAAGAAGAAGAAGAAGAAGAAGAAGAAGAAGAAGAAGAAGAAGAAGAAGAAGAAGAAGAAGAAGAAGAAGAAGAAGAAGAAGAAGAAGAAGAAGAAGAAGAAGAAGAGTGAACTTAGAACTTAGAAGTTCTAAGAAAACAAAAAATGGATATCTCAACAGTTTGGGGGGGTTTTTTTGATCAGGAACAACTGATTTTTTTTTTTAAGTTTTGGTCCCGCTTTCTCTCTTCTGCTGTTACCCCCAAGTGGGGTGAATTCATGGCTGTGTTGCAGTCCAAGTCCAATTTGTTCACTCGTGCTGGAGTTTTGTGTGTGTGTATGTGTGTGTGTGTGGAGGACTTAAACCACAAATTGAACCATCTGTGGTTCTTCTCCCGCCCCATTCCGAAGGACTTGGCTCCCGTATTGATTGCGTATTGGCATCTCAGAAGCTGCCGGTTTTCCTATTGCTGGGTTTAAGGCTGTCTGTTGCACAAGTCAAATCAGCTGAATATTCATAGGGGCCTGTTGTTGTTTTGTATCTCCACTGCTGTTGTTCTAGGCAAGGGAAATGAGAGTTTTAGGCTAAATTGAATCTAATTGAAGAAAAGCCACATTTTTTTTTTTCAAAGTCTGCTCCATGTATTGTTGGGAAAGTTTTGCTTTTATTTATTTTTAATTAAATATATATGGTCAGTTGTAAATGCAAGCTCAGAGAGCACCTTGCAGTCATTATTCTTCCCCCCTCCTCCTCCTCCTCCTCCTCCTCCTCCTCCTCTCTGCACACCCCCTCCCTTCTAGCACTGATGATGTTACCTAGTTGGGTCATGAAATGTCTGCAAGAAAACCGCCAAGCTCAGAGAGCACCAAGGACCCCATAGCCATTCTCCTCCTCCTTTTTTTTTTCCGGTGCTGTTGTAACTTCAAACAGTCGCTGAGTGAGCCGTCCTAAGTCGAGGACCACCTGTGTATTGTTTTCAGAAGCAGCCAGGCCATTCCCACGACCTCAGATCAGAGGCCGATGTGCCGTTTTAATGCTTTTGCCGATATTTCATCTTTGCTTTTTCACTTATTTATTTTTTCCTTCCTCCCCCCCCTCTCTTTTCCGAACCGCCTTTTTCAGCCAAATCAATGAATTTATCGCTTCCGTTGACGCCTGAATCGCCAAAGTAAGTATCGGGAACTGCAGATGCTTCTGAGAGGGAGGGGGGGTTTTTAAATCTAATTTGGCTACAGCAACTCCATTTCAGCTTGTTTTTATAAATGTCGCCTGTCTTCCAGCGATCCGAAGGGTTCCCCATTTGAGAGCAAGGCCATCGGACAAAGCTTAAGTGTGGAACTCTGTGGAACTGCAGGTGAGAAACACACACCTTTACCTTCGCCTTTGCCAAAGGGTTTTTATTATTATTATTATTATTATTATTAACATCTGGACGTTACGAAGCTCGTCGCTTCGGGGGTCTCTTAAGAAATGGATGTTGATATCGTTGAGAAAGATAACTTTTCCTTCCCCGCGCATGAGATCTGCTTTAAAAGTGAAAAAAGGAATGAAATAATGTCTCCGGAGATTTCTCACTCAGCCAGGTCCTGGTTTTATCCCAAGGGTGCTTTTTTTTCAGGAGGCAACTGGAGAAAAACAACAAAAAACCAGTTGCTTCCCGAAAAAAACACCTTTGTTGGGGGGGGTGAATGACTGAAATAACTTTTAATGGGAATGTCCAAAAGGTGCTTTTTCAACTGGACTTTCTTGGGTTTTTTTTTGCTTTGAAGACGTTTCCCTTCTCATCGCAGAAGCTTCTTCCGCTCTGACTGGATTGTGGAGGAACGGGAAGATTTATACTCCTTGTAGAAAGCTGGTCATTTGCCTCCTTTTAGAGAGTCATTGAGGCCACTTGGAGGGTGGGGAATGGAAGGATTTATACTCCTTGTAGACAGCTGGTCATTTGCATCCTTTTAGAGAGTTGTTGAGGCCACCGGGAGGTTTATCTGCATCCTCAGTGGTGCTTTCTCCTTGTTTTGCTTTGAAGACATTTCGCTTCTCATCCCAGAAGCTTCTTCCTCTCTGCCTGGATGGTGGGGAATGGAAGGATTTATACTCTTTGCAGACAGCTGGTCATTTGCATCCTTTTAGAGAGTCCTTGAGGCCACTTGGAGGCTTATCTGTGTCTTTCCTTCCTTCCCACTTCAAGATGTATATTAGGATCTATTTGCAGCTTCGAGATGGCAACTTGAAAGCTCTAATTTTTCTTTCAAAAAACAAACCAAACAGAGAATCTTTTTCGTCTGTCTGTTTCAGGGGGAGGGATATATTTCCTGCTTCTGCCCCCTCCGTTTGAAAAAGCAAATGTCTTCAGTGACTCCCACTTTAGCTGAAAAGCAACAACCACACACCCCAACCAAAATTAGTTTTGACAAATGATAGAGGTCACAGGTGCCCCGTGTGAGTCCAAATTACAGCTGCAGCGCTAGATTGCGCCTTCAGATTGTGTAGTTCTGGTGCTACCGTGTCTCTATTTATAACAGTTTAAATAGCGGTTGCCTTGATCTCCGGGTTGAACTGAAAAGGCCATTAGTGGGCCTGTTCATGCTATCAAAGCACAAACTATGATAATATAAATAGAAACTTCCTTGATTTTACCTCTCTCTCTCTCTCTCTCTCTCTCTCTCTCTCTCTCTCTCTCTCTCTCTCTTTCTTTCTCTCTCCCTTGCTCTCTTTTTTTTCTCCCTCCCTCCCTTGCACGCTCTTTTTCTCTTTCTCTCTTTCTTTCTGTCCCTCTCTCTCTCTCTCTCTCCCTCCCTCTCCCTCGCTCTCCCTCTTTCTCTTTCTTTCTCTCCCTTGATCTCTCTCTTCTCGTCTCTCTCCCCCCTCCATTGCTTTCAGTTTTGCAATACAAATGTGAAACCTTTTTCTTCTTGCATGTATGTCATGGATGAACACTGATAAACAGAGGGGACAAATTCTGTGGTATTGTTAAATGTTTGCAAGAACCTCTGCCATCGTGTGTTCTCTGAGAGTGAAATCTCCCTTTATTTTTTCTTCCGCTCTTGAATTATCCCTTGAATTGAAAAACTGTGTTCCTTACAAGCCTTTCCCCCCCATGTATAATAATGATTTCAGTGGGATAGCATGGAATGTTCTGTGTTTGGCTCTGCCATAGTCCCCTGTTTAACAGGAAAAAGGAAGAAGCTGGAACTATTTGTCATACGAGAAAGAAAAGTTGATTGCTAGTCAACTTTTCTCCCGCAAAGAAGTCTTTTTATCTCTTAGCTTGTGAGATTGAACTCAAAGTTTCTCGTGAAAGAGCAGCGATTAAAACGTCATTCTTTGTGCCCTAAGAAATATTGCAACATCCCCTTGGACATTTCAATTTAAATGTATCCCAGATATATCACCAGTCATGATTCGTGTATTTTTATTTTCATTTTTTTGGGCTGGGAGATGTTTCCACACAGGTTTCTCCTGTGCTGTTGATCTGATTTGATTTGGGTTTTATCTAGTCCAGAGAAAAGAAGTATTGGGGGGGGGGGGACATGATAGCAATAGTCCAGTATTTGAGAGTTGCCATAGAGAGGAAGGGTTTAACTTATTCTCCAAAGCATCTGAAGGCCAGACAAAAAATAATGGATGGAAACTAATCAAGGAGAGAAGCAACCTGGAACTAAGGAGAAACATCCCAACAGTAAGAACAATCAACCAGAAGTTCTGGAGGGTTTTAAAGAAGAGACTGGACAGCCATTTGTCTGAAAAGGTATAGGGAAGGGGTAGGCAGCCTTGGCTCTTTTATGACTGGTGGACTTCAACTCCCAGAATTCCTCAGCCAGCCTGGCTCAGCTTGGAAACCTCTCCCTTTCCTCTCAGCGTGGCTGGCTCAGGAATTCTGGGAGTTGAAGTCCACCAGTCATGAAGGGGCCATAGTTCCCCCATGCTGGCTCAGGAATTCTGGGAGTTGAAGTCCACCAGTCATGGAAGGGGCCATAGTTCCCCCATGCTGGCTCAGGAATTCTGGGAGTTGAAGTCCACGAGTCCTAAAAGAGCCAAGGTTGCCTACCCCTGCTGTAGGGTCTCCTTCTTGAGCAGGGGGCTGGACTAGAAGACCTCCAAGGCCCCTCCCAGCTCTATTCTGGCTGATTGATGGGGTCAATCTCGACGGGCTGAACGCAAGACTTTCCCACGCCAAAATTCTCCTTTAATTTGTGGATTCTAATCTTGGGTTAGTACATTTTGAAACGAGCTATCCTGAAATCAAAATCAAGACAGAGATCTTTGACCTTGAACATATAATCCTTGCAAGCCTCATAAGGCAGTAGAGTTTTGATCATGATCGGCTTCTAGAGAAGGTTTTGAAGATTTGTGTTTCTTTGCTTGCTTGCTTGTCAGTTTCTTCAATTTCTGTGGCCGCCATCTCAGTCAATGACTGAAGATTAAAGAGAAAGGTGTAATTTAGAGGTAAAATCTGCTTGGCTGAAGTTTAAACTATGTTCCCTCCAGGAAGAAATGAGAAAAATTACATTTTTTGTAAAGTCAGTGATTGTCTCCGTTAGCATGGACTAACAGTCTAAATTTGTAGGAGCCAAGTGTTATATTCCACAACGTGAAATCTTTTTTTTTTTTCTCTTTCTTTCTGACAAATCATGCAATGTTGTCAGAATTACAGAAATGGGGATGTTCTCTCAAAAATACCCAGGACATTTTTAAAGACTGTTCTACTGAACAGGAATACAGTTCTGGTAATGAAGCAACAAAGAGAAATGTTTTTGCATGTGTGCAGTGGGCGTTTTGGCCACTGAAAAACAGATGGAGGTTTTCTGGGGAGGGGGCTGGACTAGATGATCTACAAGGTCCCTTCCAACTCTTGTTATTCTAAAGTTCTAAAATTCTAAAGTTCTAAATTCTTGATTCTCGGTGTGATGCTTCACACCCCATCACTACATAACTGATCTAAAGGAAAGACAATTCGGAAAGCAATCCTGGCTGGATCTAGACCGAATCACACCCAGAAATGGTTTATTGAAATCAGCTCAGGAATCTTCCACAGATTTAACTGGATGTGATAAGTTTGGATACAACGTTGTATGTCAGTACGATCTCTGTTGCAAGTTTAAAATAATAATAATAATAATCAGTTTTTTAAAACGTACATCCTGCTTCAAAATAATCCCAAGATGTCTAGCAGTGATTTATATCTACTCAGATCCCAGAAGTGAACACGTAAACATACTCTTAAATTAAATATTGATAAGCCATTTTTTTTTTTTAAAAAATGCTGGTTTCCCACTTTGGCAGCGTAGCAAATATTTTTTTGTTGTTGTTTATTTCTTTACAATATGTTTACTTCCTTCTGCAACTGAATTCTCCTGGGATACTCACGCACAAAAAAGAAAACTAACCTTTAGGCATTTCTTAGTGCTGTGCTGTCAGCAGACTTTGGTGTTGCAAGTTTTTAGATGTGCACAAAACTTTGCTGAGAATATTAACTGCATCCTCCAAATCCCTGTAAAATCTCTCTCTCTCTTTCGCTCTTTTTGCTGTCCGCAAACTTGTCTTCTGATAAAGTGATATGAGCACACGGGGATGGCAGGAATTCTAACCTGAGGGAATACTATCTAGTAAATTATTAGATATATATCCGGAGGTCTATATTTATCCTCTGCTTTACTGACAACAAGATTAAACTGACTCCTTGACAGACATGTGGTTCTTTATTATATGATGGCTATTTAATTTTATTATCCGTTTGGAGAGCTGCGGCTGTTTTGCGTTGTATGGAAACCCTGCTGATTTTTTTACTGAATCAGGCCATTATCCTGTGTTCAGTGCCTTAAGTGGGTTTAAATAATGATTCCCCTGATAATCCCATTTCCAAACTCTTCAGATGTAAAAGAATCTGGTGTGTGTGTGTGGAGTTTATATATATATGTATGTATATAAAAATAATGCTGATATTGTAGCCTGCTTTTCAAAATGCTTGACAGATTCGCTTTTTTTCTAGCGTTCACGAATGTGCATCGGCAAATGAGATGAATTATTAGATGTCTGAAGTTTAACACTGAAGTCCTATCAGTTGTACATGATGTGCGAGATGTGATTCATCAGGATAAGAGTTGGTAGAAATTCTAGATAGAAACTGAATGGAGGGGAAAAAATCAAGGAGAAGCAACCTGGAATTAAGGAGAAGCTTCCTAACAATGAAGACAATTAACTAGTGGAACTGCTTGCCACCAGAAGTTGTGGGTGCTTTGTCACTGTTTTAAGAAGAGACTGGACAGCCCCCTGTCTGGAATGGTGTAGGGTCTCCTGCTTGAGCAGGGGGCTGGACTAGAAGACCTCCAAGGTCCCTTCCAGCTCTGTTCTGAT